ATTCAGGGACATCCTGGGAAGAGAGACATTCTTTGGTGGATTGGGACCCTGGTGTGCTGACTACAACCTTCTGTGAGTGAGCAGTCCACCGCTCGGCCTGGAGATCTTGGATTCGTCTTTTGTTGAAGTCAACAACCAGTGTACTGCCTGCCAGCCTTGAATTTCTCAGCCCCTGTGCTTGTGGAAGCTAAGGCTGCCTCCAGCCTGATGTTTCCTTCAGGGACTTTGGACTTGCCAGCTTCTATACGTTTGTGAGCCATTTTCCTAAGATAAATTTCCCCCCCCCCCCTCTCTCTCTCTCTCTCTATATATATATATATACACACTTTGCTGGTTTTTGTTTCTCTCTAGAGAACCCAATCTAACACATTTGGTACCAAGAGTGGTTCTGGAAAGACAAAATCATAAAGATGTGCTTCCTAGATTGGTTCTCCAGTTTGATTAATTTTGATGACACTAGCTACTCTAAAGTAAAGAGAGTCCTACTAATCTGTGGCGTGAGGTGGCAAAATTAATACACAAAATACCACCACCAATAGATCAAGTACTTGTGAGAAGTGACGCTCTGGGTGATCGGATATTTGATACTTTTCTGCAATTTTGTCAGAATGAGGAGTATAGGGAAGCTGGTTGGTTGGTCCTACTTACACTGGATAAATTGGTGAAAGAGCGAGATGGGCTCAAAGCTGCTGAGTCTCGGCTTAAGCACCGCATGAATGACCTCAGTGCTTCCAGCTGTGCTCTGAAAGAAAGCCTTATAGCTTCTACCAGGGCTGACATAGCTGAAACCCAAATCCAGAGCCTTATTGTAAGAGTGGCTGATTTACAATGCCAGCTCAATTGCCAACCCAGAACGGTGTCTGGTGTTAAAGTGAGGGCATTGATTGGAAAAAAAATGGGATCCTGTAACCTGGAATGAGGACATATGGACAGATGATCAGGGAGATCAGGATATGGAGCCTGTAAATTCTGTTGAATCCCTCCCATCTGAACAGATTACTGTAAAACCATTATCCCCTCCCCCTCAGTTTGAGGGGACTAGCCAAACCAGTCCTTCAGGGTTATTGTGTGAGGCAGAGGCCATGGAAAACATTCCTGAATGCTCTCAGGAACTGTTTCAAGCACCTATTCTGGAGGCTAGGCCCATAACAAAGGTCAAGTCTAAGTGAGCCCAAGAGGTGAAATAGAAAGTGTGACTGAGGAGGTGATATGCTATACTCGAAAAGACCTACTTGATTTTGCCAACATGTACAGACAGAAACCTGGAGAATATGTATGGCAATGGCTACTGAGGGTGTGGGATAATGGTGCAAGGAATGTAAGATTGGATCGGTCTGAGTTTATTGATTTAGGTCCACTAAGTATGGATTGGATTCTTCATTCAATGTCTCAGCTCGAGAGGTTAGGAAAGGATCTAATAGTTTATTTGGTTGACTTACTGAGGCATGGATTATGCAGTGGCCTACCTTAAGTCAAGTTGAAGTACTAGACCTGCCTTTGTTTAACATAGAAGAAGGTATCCAGAGGCTTAGAGAAATTGGCCTGTTAAAATGGATTTATCAGATTAGACCCCTAGAGCCAGAAATGGAGAGTCCAGAAGACACGGCTTTCACCAGTATCGTGACGAATAAATTTGTGAAGGGAGCTCCACCATCCTTGAAGACTGCTGTGATTGCTATTTTATATAAACCTGATTTGACAGT